AGCATATTCCTTATCACTACACTTGGAGTCGGTGGCAGTGACATTCAGTTCCTGGGGTTCTACTTCTAGTTCTAATTCTAATTCTAGTTCTAGTTCCAGTTCCAGTTCTAGTTCTAATTCTAATTCCAGTTCCAGTTCCAGTTCTTTCTGCGTGTTTTAGTGGTAACCAACCAGTAACTCCGTCCTGCTGCGTCTCATGCGTGAAGATAAACTCTGGTGTTGTGTCGCACAGGTAACCCCAACGACCAGGATGAGAGCCGCGGTGGAATCCTGCGGCCGTACCCAGGGCGTGACGGCGCTCCATCCTGTGGTCTGAACAATGCTGCCATCTCCACCATAGACACCGGGCAGCAGACCCTCGCAGAGCCGCAGGTCTCTCCAGCCGACCCCCTGGGAGAACTGCCCGAAAACTGGGAGATGGCCTACACCGAGAACGGAGAGCTGTACTTCATAGAGTACGTACCTAGTAGAGAGAGACAGAAGGACAGTCAGACAGAGGGACAGTCGGACAGAGGGACAGTCAGACAGAGGGACAGTCAGACAGACAGGTGAACAACAACCCCAGTCAGGCTATTTTAGGTTGTTTGTTGTTATTTTTGTTGTTGTCGTCACTGTTTGAACTGTTGTGTTCCTGCAGCCACAACACAAAGACCACGTCATGGCTGGACCCCCGGTGCCGGGACAAAGGCCCCCGCCCCCTGGAGGAGTGTGACGATGACGGTGAGCTGCTGCCTCTCATTTACACTATAAAGCTGCACTTTCTCACCTCAGGAATCAGCAGGTGGCGCTCAACGCCCTCCCTGTATGTATTGTAATGTGTTCCTGTTATTTTGGGTCGACATCAGCGACAAATGTTGAGACGTTCATGTGGCGTTGGACAAACGAGGCTGAATATTTGAATTGGTGAAATGTAAAAGTGTCAGAGTGAAAAGGTGTCTAACTTCCTGTTCCTCCCTGGGTCTGTGTTCCCCTCACAGAGGAAGCGCTCCACACTGAAGACCTGGAGAGTGATTTAGGTGAGAGTTCACATTGTTCACATTTATAATTCAGAGCTGTGGATAAAAAAACAAACAAACAGTGAAACGTTTAGTTTTACTTTGTTTTGATTTGATCAGAATCAGTCGTGATAAAACCCGAGTGTGTGGTTCTGACTGTAGTTCTGACTGTAGTCGTTGTTGTTGCTGTTCAGACTCAGACAGAGTCTCAGGTTATTGATCGTGAAAGTCAGTCTGTGTGATAGAGTTTACTGGAGGAGGGAGGTTCCCTCAGCAACACACACACACACACACACACACACACACACACAGAGGATTGAGTTTCAAATACTATAGTGTACTACGGTGTGTACTACACACTACAGTACACACAGATGGATCCCTGTGTGTTATTGTCTGACTCTGGTTCCAGGGTGTGAACTGGAAAATAAAATATTAAGATACGTCAGTGGTTCTGCAGCGCCCCCTTCTGTAGACAGCAGTGCCCTGTCGGCGTCACCGGTGTGTGTTCATGGCTGTGTGTCTTCTGTTTATTCCAGAGCTGCCCCCAGGATGGGAGAGGATCGACGACCCGGTGTACGGAGTGTATTATGTGGAGTAAGTTTTCAAACGTTCTGAATCCAAAGAAAAGTTAGAAACCGGTTTCACACCTTTAGGCTAAAAGTTCTGTTTTTTTCTTTGTTCTCTTAGTCACATAAACAGAAAGACGCAGTACGAGAACCCAGTGTTGGAGGCACAGCATCGGAAGATCCTGGAGCAGCAGCATCAGCAGCAGCAGCATCAGCAGCAGCAGCAGCAGCCACAGCCGCAGCCTCTAGAAGGTGAGCGGTATATCCGAGGTTGGTTTCCTGCCCTGGCGCGGCACCGTTTCTTTCTTCCTTCACGTCCGTGGTGGTGACTGTCCCGTCCAGACAACTTGACATTGACGCGGCGTCGACTTCACCCTGAGAATCATCTGTTTGATCTTTAACAGAGCGACCGTAAGAGTGACGGTCCAGACGGGGTGGTGCTCCATAGGTTGAGCAGCAGCATTGACTGCGGATGAATTCAGCTCATTAGTTAAAATACAGTTCCAGTTTTTCATTAATTATGAGAATCTTAAAAGTTTGACCTTTTCGTTGACCTGGTGATGATTAACTAACAAACAACATCGTACTTTAAAATCAGCTGTCAATGTCAACATTGTCTGTTAGCTGCATGATCATCAGGACCCAGTCTGAGACTGGGACTGGACCAAGACCAGTCTGAGACTGGGACTGGACCAGGACCAGTCTGAGACCAGGTCACTGTGTGTATGTGTGTGTGTGAAGTTCTGACTGAGAGATGACATCATCTTCTTCCATTTATCCATATTCACACTGACTTTTTAACATCAAAATATATAATGATACGAAAAAAAACAAATTAAAATGATCAAATTGACAAAGCGAGAGACAGCGCCACACAGTGTCCAGTGGAAGAATGCAGCTGTCTTCATGTTGTTGTCAACACAGTGTAATACATCAGTGAGGCCTGTGGAGGTTCAACCTGTGTCTGTGTGTGTGTGTGTGTGTGTGTGTGTGTGTGTGTGCAGAGTGGATCGAGGAGCACTCCTCTGCAGCAGCTCCTTTAGCCAACTACACCCCCGGTCATCTGGACTCCTACAGAGACCCACAGATGCCCCCCGCTCTACCTCCAGGCCCCACGGGAGTCAAACGTAAAGGTTTATACTGCACGTGTACTACACACAGTACTACAGTAACCATACATGAACAAATACACGCAGAACGTCCCCCTGGTTACCTCAGACAACACTGAGGTGAGGGGGGGTCGGGTACTGGGGGGGGCTAAAAACACATTTAAATTTATATACACCTGTCGACAAATACACACAGAACGTCCCCCTGTTTACCACAGACAACACTGAAGTGGGGGGGGGCTAAGAACACATTTAAATTTATATACACCTGTCTAAGACGTCTACAGCAGTGAGTTAGCCTCTCTCTCTCTCTCTCTCTCTCTCTCTAACCTCCGCGGTGTTTTTCAGGAGGGAAACCTTTCTTCACGAGAAACCCGGCCGAGCTGAAGGGAACCTTCATCAACACCAAGTTGAAGAAAAGCCGCCGCGGCTTTGGTTTCACCGTGGTGGGGGGCGACGAGCCCGACGAGTTTCTACAGATCAAAAGTTTGGTGCTGGACGGACCTGCAGCCGTGGACGGCAAAATGGAGACAGGTGCAGTACACCAAGTCGTCCACCAGAAGCACTGTTTCTTTTCATCAGCTCGCGACAGCCTGGCATGCATACATTTAACTTCCAAAAGAAATACGTAGGGGGCCACCTGGGGGTCACAAACCACCAGTTGAAGCTCAGTTAGCGTTTTTTTGTTGCGATGGACTGAGAAGGACTAACCGCCGGTGTTTGTTTGGTCCAGGTGACGTGATCGTCAGCGTCAACGACACCATCGTTCTGGGCTACACCCACGCTCAGGTGGTGAAGATCTTCCAATCCATTCCCATTGGCTCCATGGTGGACCTGGCGCTCTGCCGTGGATATCCTCTACCCTTTGACCCCGACGACCCCAACACTAGCCTGGTGACCTCCGTGGCAATCCTAGACAAGGAGCCCATCATCGTCAACGGACAGGAGACGTTCGACTCGGCAACGAGCCAGGCCGGACCCGACGTCGGCCGGAGGGAACCCAGGCCTCACAGTCCGTCAGCGGAGGTGGCATCAAACGGTTCCCACGGTTACTCCAGCGACGTGGTCACCCTGGCCTCGGCCATAGCCACGCAGCCGGAGCTCATCACCATCCACATGGAGAAGGGGGACAAAGGGTTCGGCTTCACCATCGCCGACAGTCTGACGGGCGGGGGGCAGAGGGTGAAGCAGATCGTGGATTACCCGCGCTGCCGCGGCCTGAAGGAGAGCGACATCCTGATGGAGGTGAACAAGAGGAACGTCCAAAACATGAGCCACAACCAGGTGGTGGACCTGCTGAGCAAGTGTCCACGAGGGAGTGAGGTCACCATGCTGGTTCAGAGAGGTAGGTCCGACCCAAGTACTGCAGTAATACACGTAGTATTATTAAGATACCAGAGCATCGCAGTGACTGAGGAGAAGGAAGTGACATCAGAGTCTGATGTCATCAGGGAGTCATGGGAGAGAGGGTGAGAGATGTGGGAGAGAGGGGCAGGTTATAAAAGTCTTAGGGACAAAATAGGAGAAGTGAGGAGAAGAAGGGTGAGTGTGGATGTAAGAAGGAGGAGAGACGAGAGACGAGAGACGAGAGAGGAGAGAGGAACTCAGGTACTGGAACTGGTCTGGTCCAGTGATGTGGTCCGGTGATGTGGTCCAGTGTTGTGGTCCAGTGTTGTGGGCAGGGTCCAATCATTTGGTCTGTCAGTGAAGCCCAGTTCTGTCGGCCTCTTCATCAGTTGTCATCCAACATCTGATGAAACAGCTGATGTTTCCGTCATCTTCATCATCTTCATCTTCATCGTCCTCTCTGTCGGAGCCCAAACCCCTGACACCTCAGTTTCATCTCTCCGTGGTTGCCATGACGATCCTGCTCAGCCCACTGTCCCCGGAGACAACAGAGAGGAATGAAATCAAAGACAGAGTGAAGGAAACAAAGGAGATGAAGATGATGACAGGTAGAGTGGGCGGAGCTAAAGGAATGATGACGTATGTCAGGGTTTGGATCCGTTCTAAAGGTTCTGCTTGACTGTGACCTTGGTTCTTTGGTTTGTCTGTTGTTCAGTGTCAGTACAGTGTCAGTAGTTACACATGTTTAGAACAGCAGCAGGGACGTGGTCGCTGGTTCCATCCCCGTCAGGTGTGAATGTTGGCCTCTGTACATGACATTGACTGGTGCACTGTACAGGGTGTAATCACGCCCTCTTCTGTTGACAGCTGGAATTGACTCCAGCTCATGCACAACCCTAAGAAGATGAACGAATGACTGACTGAATGATGACACCACGTGGTTGAGCTGCAGATTGACAGGTGCTGTGACTGTCATTCAGACATCATCTGTCATGGACACGTCAGAGGGACAGAGGCGGAGTTGTGTCGTCAAACTACTTCCTGTTTGCAGTGAGACTGAAAATGTGTCTCTAAAATTTAACAAAAAATGAAAATGATACAGATGGATGGATGGACGGACAGATGGATGGAAGGATGGACGGATGGATGTGAAGGGTTTAGTTCACTGTTTTCAACATTTTTGTGGATGTCAGCTCCCTTCAGTGGAACAGTTTTGTGGATGTCAGCTCCCTTCAGTGGCCTGCAGGTGGTGCTAAGCTCACATATAAAAGTGTTTGTTGGTTTGACAGATGGTTGAACACAGGCGTGTATCAGTGGTGTTTTAGGAACTGAGGCTAACGGTTAGCACACAGACATGTCCGAGCAGAGTCGTAGTAATAACCACCTGGTGGCCACCTGGTGGCACTGGTCCGTCACCACGGTGACCTTTACATCCACTCCTGGTTCCTTCATTATTCATGGACATTTTCATTACCGACGTCGACTGTGATGTCATCACTTTGGTGTCTTTGAATCGTGAACTTCCTCAGTGCCCATGAGCAACACCAGGTTCATGCCAACAGCATCGATGTGAAATGGAATTATTCCGTCGTTCAGTAGTGGTAGGAAAAAATCAGTACTGTGGCAGTACTGCACAGTATACATAGGAGTACACCCGTCTCAGATGTGTACTGCGTGTATTTATAGATGTTTGTGCAGCGTGGCGTGGAGCTGCAGGAACACGCCATTCCTACATGTACTGCTCCTCCTCCTCCTCCTCCTCCTCCCGCTGCTCATTAATGTTTGATCCAGTCAGATGAAATCATCTCGGAGTAGAACTCGTACGTCAGCGTCACGTTGCCACACCTTCAGGCGTTTGCATTTAAATCAGCAGTTTCAGCTGACGCCAGCAGGAGTCAGTGTGAACTACATCAACCATCTCTCTTCACTTCCATGTTCACCTGGTCTGAGGAGGACGTTTGTGTTTCTTCACCTGGTCTTTCAGGTGACCTTTAACCTCCGTCTCTGTTTCTGAATATCAAACCTTCACGTGTGACCTCACAAACTCTCTCTATATTTAGCTCTCACGCATTCCGCTAACCGCCATCCCATAATTCAAGAGAAGGAGAGAGCGAGCGAGGAGGTCGGGGGGGAGGGGGTGTTTTGAAACAGAAGATAAATTATGAATCGTGTGGAGGTTTAACATTTAATGATTTCTGTTTTTGTCACTGCAGTAGAAAAAAAAAATCCTCCGACAGATGTTTGTGTTGACGTGGCTGCAGTACTTCATTAGTACTCCTTAATAGTCCTGTTTGGGTAGAGGTCGTATTCATAGATGAGAACACTGTAACTCTGTGCCACCTGATCGCCGTGGCAACAGCACTACTCCGTCCCAACCCCAGCAGTGAAGCAGTTACTTATTTCCGTGCTGCAGAATCAGGTTTGAACTGAGCCTGGTGTGAATAATCAGCTGAGAGTGAATACGTTGGTGTGAACAGTGGATCATGTGGAGGAGGTGGAGGAAAGTGGGAATGTGGAAGATTCCCAGAGTGAATCTTCAATTATTAATATTTCATTAGCACAAACGAGATCAGTCTTCCTCCTGGCTCTGCACAGCACTTTCACTGCTGAGGAAAAGATTGGGGGGGAGGGGGGGCAAGAACAAGTCAGGGTGTATGAAAGGAAGAGGGCGGGAACAAGGGGAAGAAGAAGAAGAAGAAGATCTAAGTTTGAGCCTTGAGCTACGAAGAGGAGAGAGGAGAGAGGAGAGGAAACCAGGCAGTAGTCAGAGTGAGGCAGGAGCTCAGGCTGTCGACTGACATGGAGCTGAGCTGCTGAGGAAGAAGAGGAGAGGAGAGGAGAGGACAGGCAGGACCCAGGACTCTGTCCTTCAGTCCCACAGACTTGGTGTCCTGGTCCGTGGAGGGGACCAGAACCTGCAGGTCATTCATGCTCTCTCTGTCTTTGTGCCGATGTTTTGCAGGAGTGGTTCCAGCCAAGAGGAGCCCGAAGCTGGTGGTGAGTACTGACAACTTCTGCTCTCTCCATGTGGTGGCGTTACTGAGTTGTTTAAGAAACTGATGATGACAGTGTCTCCTGCTGCCGTCCTCCGACTCCTCCAACAGTTCCAAACAGAACTGTGCAGTGAGGACTACTGTAGTACTAATGAGTATTACTGTGATACAAGTCTGATTTTGGTCATGTATAAAATAAAAGAGATGATAAAAATGTGGCCTCAACCAGGCAGCTGGAGGCGCTGTGGAGCTGACAGGATTTGAAATAGAAGTTGAAGTGGACAGCTCCTGGTGCTGAAACACACCAACACTAATATGAAGAAGGTCAGAGACATTTTTTAGTATCTCAGATGATTTGGTTCTGGTCCAGTGACAGCTGCAGAATTATTCAGAACTAAACCGACGTGTTCTGACCCTGGTCTGGATCACGTTAGAACGTTCTTCAAACATTTACTAGTCTTGTTTTAAAAAGTCCAGTTGGTCCAGATGTGAAGACTCGTCCTCTGTCTTTTTCAAATGTTTCCTTTGAAGCTCCACCCTCCAGGAACTCTCTCTGTCCTTTGACACCTGCCGGCGTCATTGGCGGCCTCCGTTGATTGGTCGACTGAATATCTCTGATGGTTAAAATGATCTCACATCTCAAATGTGTCTTTGTCTGGAAACCATGGAAACCAGCTCTGCTCTCAGCTCTGCTGCAGCGTCTAAAAAAGACGACCTTGGACACTTCCTCCCTCTTTGTCCTCCGTCCACACCTTTCTCCTCACCCACCGTGCCTTAACACTGACTCACCCCTCTCTCTGAATTCTTTCCGCTCACTTTCACCTGCTTACCTCCACCCCGTCATCACCCTCCGTCTCTCGTTCTGTCCTCTCAGCACCAGTTGGAGAGGAAGGACAGTCAGAGCAGCTCCCAGCACAGCGTGTGCAGCCACCGCAGCGCCCACACGGACTCTCCCGGCCACCCGCCCTCCGTCATGCCGGGTGAGGTTGTAGCTCCGACTCCTGCTGCTCCCACCCAGCCTCTGCCGGTCCTACCCTCTCAGGACCCCACGGACGGGACCCTCACCCTCCAGAAGAAGCCTGACCCCTTCAAGATCTGGGCCCAGTCCAGGAGCATGTACGAGAGCCGACGTGAGTAGAACTGAACCACATCAAGTGGACCGATCTATCCAGTCTGGGGGGAGAGAGAGGGGCGGGGGTCCGTGACTTTGTTAAAGTGTTTTTAGCTGTAGTTCAGCAGAACCTGGTCCTGTGGTCCACATGGTCCTGAGGACCAGCTGGCTGAACTCAGAGAGCTTTCCTTATTTTACTTCCTGTGTCTTTCAGTACCAGATGTCCAGGAGCAGGACATCTTCCTTTGGAGGAAGGACACAGGCTTTGGGTTCCGCATTCTGGGAGGAAATGAGCCGGGCGAGCCTGTGAGTGTCCCAGAATTCACCGCTCTCTTTGTTGTTTATTGATTATTGACTTGATTTTTAGTCAACACCAGGACGCAGAGTTGACTCTCAGCATTTCTCTTAGACGAGATCATATTTGGCGACCCCTGCTTTTTTTTTTAATTTTTGTTGGGTCATCACATCCACCACTCCAGCAGATGGCACCATCTAACATATAACAAAAAGGAACAAGGGCTGTTTAGTTAAACACAAACACAACACCGATCAGAACTGATAGACTCACAGGAATTGAAGAAAGACTCAAAGAAAGATCTTCTTCAGCAGCTCTGAGCCTCTCTTCATATCTCTCTAGGATGTTTCTGGTTTCTTCTTATCTAAGAAATGATATAAGAAATGAGAAGAAGGAATTGTGAAATTTTTGCAACAGTTATTTCAGTCCGTACAAAAAGACAGAAAAACATTCATAATCATTGTTTTGGTTCTAGTGGCTAACTTTACCGTTTGGAGCAGGACGTCGACGTAGGACGTGAGAAACGCTAACGTTAGTTTGTCTGTGACTGGAGCTGGAGTTCTGCTGCAGTCTGACTGAGAGCTCGTTAGACAAGTCAAACTCTTCAACCAGCTCGACGTTGGGGTTTTTTTTCTTGGTTTTCCCTTTCAAAGCAGGAGATAGGAACGGGGAGGAAAGGGGGAGGAAAGGGGGAGGCAGGAGCTCAGAAGGAGAAGGGAAACTAATTGAAAGCAGGTCTTTGCTGCAGGAGTTAGTACTGGTGGATGTGAACTCAGTACTGTCAAACTGAGTGTGTGCTCCCCCACACAGAGCCTGAAGAACGTAGGCGTCTGCCTGGCATCGGTACTTCATCGGTACTTCATCGGTACTCCGGTACTCCACACAGAACTTTTTATTTTCTCTAAACAGTTGCTACAGATATATTTATATTTTCAGAAAATCAAAACAACAAAAATGATTTCTCTGTTCGGACGTCATGACATCATCACCTGAGAGAAGGCATTAGTTCACTCCATCATTCACACTACATTCACTCTGATGTTAAGGTTCACTCAGAGCTGCCGTCTGCTTCATACAACTCTCATCAAAATTCTACACAGATTACCAATCCAGTACAAGGGGGTGGTGGAGGGGAGGGGGACGGGGTCATGACCGGGAGTCAAACCTATGACCAGCACGGTTTCTTGGCCTTGGTTCCAGATCTATATCGGTCACATAGTCAAGTACGGCGCAGCGGACGAGGACGGTCGTCTACGGTCGGGCGACGAGCTCATTTGTGTGGACGGCACGGCGGTGGTGGGCAAGTCTCACCAGCTGGTGGTGCAGCTGATGCAGCAGGCGGCCAAACAGGGACACGTCAACCTCACCGTCAGACGCAAGACCCCGGGATACGGAGGTGAGAAAGAACACGATGACGGGGTGTCGCCGCGGCTGACCACTGAACTACAACTACAGATTCTTTCTCCCGGGTCACCAGGGTCAAAAGGGGAGGGTGACGTGCCCCCATCACCTGCCTCCTCCCACCACAGCAGCACCCAGGCACCGAGCCTCACAGAGGGCAAGAGGACCCCCCAGGGCAGCCAGAACTCGCTCAACACCGTCAGCTCGGGCAGCGGCTCGACCAGCGGCATCGGCAGCGGCGGTGGGGGCGGCAGCGGCAGCGCGGTGGTCCCCGCCTCCCTGCAGCCGTACGACGTGGAGATCCAGCGAGGAGAGAACGAAGGCTTTGGTTTCGTCATCGTGTCGTCCGTGTCCAGACCTGACGCCAACACTACCTTCGGTGAGTTAGCGTTAGCATGTGGCCTCCGTGAGGTCAGAGCCAATCACAGTCTGTTCTCTCTCACTCTTCTCTGTCTCTTGATTGACGTTCAGTGATTTTTCTCCTCGGTGATTCCGATCATTAATCTTCGTCTTCTTTTTTCTCACTGTTTTCATTCTTTTTTTTTTTTACAAATCAAACATCATCGTCACCGTCACACATATCTACATGTTAACACAAAAGCTGGAAATGCCTGTGTGGCCATGCCCCACAAAATAGGACGCATCATTGAAGGCAGTCCAGCGGACAGGTGCGGGAAGCTGAAGGTCGGGGACCGGATCCTGGCCGTGAACGGATGTTCCATCACCAACAAGTCGCACTCAGACATCGTCAACCTGATCAAGGAAGCTGGGAACACGGTCTCACTCAGGATCATCCCCGGTGATGGTGAGTCAAAGTCTGCTACTGCCCCCTGCTGTGAGGCACAGGTTTTAAAGTAGTATTTGTTTGTTTTTTTCCAGAATCTTCCAATGCTTCTCTGCTAACCAATGCTGAGAAGATAGCCACCATCACCACCACGCACACACCTCAGTCCACAGAGCTGCGGTACACCACGCTCCAGACTTATGAGATACTTTCTGTATTTAAAGCTGTAGTATTTGTACTAACAAGTACTAACAAGAAGTTTCTACTTTTTTTTAAAGAAATAACGCAAAGTCCAAAGGAGCTCCTCCTCCTCCCCCCACACAGGGCCAGACACAGGTGAGAATCGTGGGTCAACTGTTGAATTTTCTTCTTGAGAATGACCTTTGACCTTATGGCTCTCTCGTGTAGGACGCCGAGTTCTACTCTGTAGACCTGGACCGGGACAGTAAAGGTTTTGGCTTCAGCCTGAGAGGAGGCCGGGAATACAACATGGACCTGTATGTGTTGAGACTGGCGGAGGACGGAGCCGCGGTCAGGAACGGCAAAATGAGGGTAGGGAACCAGAAGTTGGAACTGGTTTTAGGGCTGGAGGTTTTTGGTCCGTCCTTTAGAAAACCTCATGTCAAGTGTCCTCTCTTTGTACTGTACTGTATATTTTGGCTCAGTACTGTGGCACTTCCTGTCCTTGGTGCAGGTGGGAGACGAGATCCTGGAGATTAACGGTGAGAGCACAAAAAACATGAAGCATTCACGTGCCATCGAGCTGATCAAGAACGGGGGTCGGAGGGCACGACTGGTCCTGAAGAGAGGAGACGGTTCTGTACCCGAATATGGTAGGTGAAAATACTACAATCTGACAGTACTCGCTGAGTCAGACTTTGTAGAAAAGCCTGGACTGACAGATGATCAGTACTGACGAACAGATCAGTGAGGAACTCCACCTGAAGACTGGGGTCTGATCAGAGAATCGTACGGTCGACCACCGTCATGTACGACCCAGACGCTGAGCAGTAACTGCTACTAATTTAGCACAGCGCTAAATGAATAGTTATATTATAGTAGCTATAATGTGTTTGAGTGTTGTCATCTGTACCAACACTAGGGGGTCTAAAATAGGAACATCAAAGTAACAAAGTTAACGACCGACATTCTTTCCTCTAAAGCTTCTTCTTCTTCTTCTTCTTCTCCCGACTCTGGATCAAACATTTACTCTTGGAACACACTTTGTTGACACAGTATCCTATCAGTTTACCATACTTGTCAGTGTGGCATTCACTGCCTCACTGAGCGCTCTCACAAAAAAAAACAACACTGTGATCCATTTCTCTCTCATTGCTCACTTGTTGCCATGGTGACATGAAGCTGCTCAGGTCTTCCCTCCTGTGGAAGCGGTGGGCACAGCACACAGCTGAGATCAAAGTAGAAATGAGACATTTGATGTTGTTGTTGATTCTCTTTCTTCTCAGAATCCTCTGTAAATTTAACTTGTTAATAACTGTATCACACACATATCGTCCTCTCTGACTTCCTCTCTCACACTTCCTCACTTCCTGTCTGTTTTCTTGCCTTCTGCTCTGTGTTCTTCTTCTCTTCTCTGTGTCACCGGGCTCTTCCTCCTCCTCTTCCTCCTCCTCCTCTCTCCAGCGATGATGGCTCCTCATCTCGCTGTTGGTACAATGAGGAATGACAAGTTGGGAGAGCCCTGTTTCTACCTAATGGGCCAAAACCAGACCACGGTTCGTAGCTGAAAACCTGTCTCTCGCTCATCACCTGTTTTTACCTCTCCTTTTTTTTTTACCCATCCTGCCTTTCTGCACCTCAGTAGTTTATCTGCCCCTGGCTGTGTTTACACATGCTTGACGTTTTACCTATGACGCCACTGTGACCCAACCTCCTTCACCATCTTCAGACCAGGAATGATTTCATGTTCATGTCCCACATGCTGCTGCTGCTGCTGCTGCTGCTGAGTCCATTGTTGCATGTCAAAGTCATGGGTCACGTCTTCATTTTGCACGTTATTTTATAAAATGGTAAAAATGATTTTTTTTAGCTGATGTTCAGTGAATGTTTTCACCAACAGACAACAGTAAATCAGTCACTGTGTTCCAGCTGACCAATCAGCTGCTCCCATCTCTGACTCCCAGTGAATGAACTGTCTCCCCCTGTGTTCCTCTCCCCCAGACAGCAGCAGTGACAGGCACACTCCCACACCCAGGGCACAAAACGCTGCGGAAGTGAGAATGGTGCCGTCCAACAGTCGATATCACACCTCGTTGGAGTCCAATTATCCACCAGACCTTCACAAACCATCGCGCCAGGAGGAAGCTGTGCGTGGCCGAGATTCGGACAGGAACAGGGACAGGGCTAGGGCGGAGCAGATGGAATACCAAGACTGGCAATTAAACCCCCACCATCACCCCACCTGGAACAACAACCACAGTCACAGTCGCCCCAGACAACCGTCTCCAGACAACAGTACCAGCAGTACCGGCGACACCAAGAAGAGCCGCAAAGTCAAAAAGTCACAGTCAGAGAGCGGCATCTCCAAACTCTTAAAAACTCTGAGAAAGGACAGCTCTGGGAAGAAGGCTGCTGCTGCTGACAAACTCAGGGGGCGCGGGCCGTCGGGCAGCAGTTCCACTTTGGACGGGAGGGTGCGTCCGCAGCGCCGCGGCTCCCTGGACCGCTCACCTACCCGAAAGCGTACGTCATCACCCGATCGCCGACGAGCCAAGTCGATGGATCGCAGGGCAGAGCGAGCCCAGCGAGACCGCACCCCCGAGAGGGACGCCGATGACGGAGGATTCCTCGCGGTCACTCCCGAACGGAAGTTCCACGAGCGCAGGCTCCTGAAGGATGTACAGACGGACGGGCGAGGCAGAGAGGCCGTCACCCCAGAGCGCTGCAACAACAACAGCGGGGATTCAAACTCACTATCAAGGGGTCGCACGCACAACAGGACCCCGAAGAACAGCAACGTCCTGAGAGACTCTTCCTCAGAGCGGAGAGAGGAGAGGCCCCAGATGAACGGGACGCCGGAGAGACGTTTTCGAGTGGAGCGGGACTCGTCCCCCGACAGCACCTACAGCAGAGACGATCTGAACCCCGCCGCCGCGGCAGCGCCCAGACTGAGTGAGTACTACAGCATGATGAAGAACAACGCTCCACACAACAACATGGCGTACAACAACAACAACCACCACACAGCGGGCCGCGGGTCCAACCAGCTCCCTGAGCCCAAGAGACGGCTGTACCACGAAAGCTCCAAAGACCTCAGCATCTAAGTGGTGGCCACGCCCACCTCCGTCTGCGCTAACGCTGTACTTCCTCTGGAGTCCTGCGTCTGAGGTCGACTGATGTGTGGATTCATTTAACTGAGCTGCTGTGACTCCGTCCTGAGGTTCCTCACACAGTGGGTGTGGGACCCTCCTTTCAGTTTGACCTTTGACCCACTTCTGTTGACCCCTAGCAGTTATTGTACTATAGTGAAGGTCTGTGCCTGCATATACTACAGTGATCTTGTTTTCGTAGGCGTTGATAACTCTCTGTTCCTCCGAGGTTTGAAACATGCTTCCAGCTGTGGTGACGTCTACCTAACTAACTAACTCACTAACTAACCTTTGTTACTTTTTGGTCATTACTGAATTGCTTTACTGAACAAACTATAGCACAAGACACTGGTGGATTCTGAGACTGTGAACGGGTTTTTGGACTCTCTCTCCTGAGAATCCGACGGTGAAACAGGAGCAGGAGAATACGATTGTTGTTTGTTATTTATTTGAAATTCCTCACATGTCCAGCAGAGGTCGCAGGACACATGGACACAAGTACTTCACACCTGGACCAGTGTGCAAAACCTCTACTGCTGCCCCCCCGCCCCGTCCCCGTCATTCAGTTTCTCTGAATCTCAACTCAGTTCACCTGATATTCACCTGACGTGTTGTCAGTTTCTCTGAATCTCAACTCAGTTCAGGTTCAACTTTGTCGCTCGTCTCGTTTCCACAGAACTTCTTCTGTGGTTCTACATCACGCCACAACACGAGCTTCAAGCTGCCATAATTATTTTTCCAGTATTTCCTGGAAATAAAGCCGTGCTGACCTCAGCTGCCCCCGCCCCAACATTTGGGTATTTTTACACTTGCAGTTGATAAAGTCAGAATTTAGGCCACGCCTTTATTTTCATGAAACACACTGCACCGACTGTCTCCAGAGGACAAACCATCAAAAACTGTTTCCCAATCTTTTGAGAGAAGGCACATATCTTTTTTTTTAAATCCCACGGCGCACCACCAAAGAAGAAAATGTCACAAAAAGTAAACGTAATGAAATTTATTGATCTTTTAGTTTGAATTCACTCACAATTCACGTCGTTAGTGGGAAACCTGGGCCTGTTTAGTTGAACACAACACTGATGAACTCGCAGGGATTGAAGAAAGACACACTAAGATCTGACTCAACAGGTCTCCTTTTTCTTGGTTTTAAAGCCATTTACTGCCATCTAGTGGAAGAGTATTTAGTTGCTCTGCCTGTCACTGTCGTAAAGACAGACAAAGACACTATTTGCGGTAAATAAATAATAGTTTCAGAGTAATCAAGTGAAATCCTAAACTTCTGGTCGAAATAAAAGTGGCATCGAACCGTTGACCCATCGCACACGCACACACCGTGATCTTAAGACACAGTGACGTAAACCTGATAATCGGTCAAAATATTTAAAACTTTATGTTAAAAATTAAACGAACACATTTTCATGTTGTCGGAGGAGCGTGAAGTCGGTTTGTGTTTCATGTCCACAGGTCCAGAACATCACACTGATGGTGATCACATCCCACTGGTCTCCGAGCTAAAGCACACGCGCCTGAAACTCTGTGTCCCCATTTGTACAGAACCACAAACACAGGTGTATGTTGACGAAGAAGGCCTAGGATTTCTGCACACTCTATGCTTTTTTTTGTGCATAACAGAGCCACATATATTTTTAAACCTCTATACAGTCAATGCAGAATTCATACATATATATATATAAATATATATTTTAAAAAATGACTGATTAATTTGGAGCGATCAACGGTGAGAAAAATATTCAAGAACTGTTTTCAG